CTGCCTGACCAACCTGGTGTCTTACTATGATGGCATGACTAGATCAGTGAACAAGAGAAGAGCTATGGATGTGATCTATCTGGACTTCTTTAAAGCCTTCAACAGTCCCTCACAACACCCTTCTTTCTAAATTGGAGAAACATGGATTTGAGGTGTGGACTGTTCAGTGAATGTGGAATTGGTTGGAAGGTCGCAACCAGAGGGTAGTGGTCAACAGCTCAATGTCCAAGTGCACGCCGGTGACAAGTGGTGTCCCTCAGGGGTCTGTACTGGGACTGAAGATGTTTAACATTTTCATCAATGACTTGGTGAGATCGATTGCACCCTCAGCAAGTTTGCAGATGACAGCGAGCTGAGTGGTGCAGTTGACACACCAGAAGGGAAGGGATGCCATCCAGAGGGACCTGGACAAGCTCGAGACATGGGCCTCATGAGCTTCAATAAGGTGAAGTGCAAGGTCCTGAATCTGGGTTGGGGCAATCCCTGCTATCAATACAGGCTGGGGGATGAGGGAATTGAGAGCAGCCCTGCCGAGAAGGACTTGGGGGTACTGGTGGTATGAAAAGCTGGACATGAGCCACCAATGTGCGCTCACAGCCCAGAAGGCTAACCATATCTGGGCTGCATCAAGAGAAGCATGGCCAGCAGGTCAAGGGAGGGGATTCTGCCCCTCTACTCCACTCTGGTGAGAGCCCACCTGGAGCCCTGCGTCCAGCTCTGGAGACCCCAGCACAGTAAACACATGGAGCTGTTGGAGCAGGTCCAGAGGAGGGCCACAAAGATGATCAGAGGGCTGGAGCACCTCTCCTGTGAGGAAAGTCTGAGAGAGTTGGGCTGTTCAGCCTGGAGAAGAGAAGGCTCCAAGGTGACCTTCTAGCAGCCTTTCAGTACCTGAAGGGGACCTACAGGAAAGATGGGGAAAATATTTTCAGCAGGGCTTGTTGCAACAGGACAAGGAGCAATGGCTTTAAACTAAGAGAGGGTAGATTTAGACTACAGATAAGGAAGAAGTTTTTTATGATAAGGGTGGTGAAACACTGGAACAAATTGCCCTGAGAAGTAGTCGATGCCTCATCCCTAGAAACATTCAAGGCCAGGTTGGACGGAGCTCTGAGCAACCTGGTGTAGTTGAAGATATCCCTGCTCACTGCAGAGGGGTTGGGCTAGATGACGTCTAAAGGTCCCTTCCAACTCAAAGCATTCCATAGTTCTATATGTTTTAAAGAGTTTGAAATAAGGAAAAAAAAATGCTTTTTTCGAAAGAAACATGTGAAAACTTTGGCAACTAGAGGAGAGAAAGGGTAAAGGCTGTTATACAGTGATGTACTTCAAAAACTTCCACACCATAGAGCCCAAAGACTCATTAACCCCAGGATATTAGGAGAGAGATGCATTTTTAGCAGAAAAGCAGAGCCAAAAGAGGCCAACTAGACAGCAACAAATTTATTCTAAAGCCCATTGGGTTAAAGAGAGCAGTGAAGCTACGAAGTTCTACCTGTTACGTCCTCCTGCAGGCTCCCTTTAGAGCCTGGCCAAACTTTGTTCTAGAACTGGAAAGGGGTATTTTGTTTTGAGATCTGGGCTTTCCCATGATAGAGCAACATTTGACAAAAAAAAAAAGTCAGTTCTTTACCTGAGATCACACACCGTGATATATCATGTTTGTGTCAGCTCTGCCTTCAATTCCACAAACTAGCACAAGTTGCATCAAAGATCAACATATGCCATTTGATCACAAGCCACAAAGGGCTCAGTTCTGTCCAGGTTTAAATCAAGGCTGAAGAGCAGATGCTCTGAAGATTTGTGAGCATGGCATGCTTAGAGCCTGCATTCTAATTCAGTCAAAACTAATTAGACCTTTCAAGCAACCTCTTTCTAATCCTGTGTATACAACACTTACGGAAACATTTGTCTCCTCCTTTCCCTGACAGAGTGATGAGGCAAACTAATGTTCTTCAAGGTTCTTCAAGTGGCTGTACCACACGGTCTTGGAATAAAAGAAAATACTGAAAACTCTACCAACAGGAGTTCCAGTTGCTTTGGCAGAGAGGTATCATGTCAGAAAAGAAGTCCACCAGTGTGTTTGTAATTGTAATATTCAAGACATACCAGAGCTTCAAAATAAAAGGTAATCTCCTCTTTGAAAGGAAGAAATGTTCCCTCTTGGATCACTGTGTAGATGCCAGCCTGCGCACTACTATCTCCCCATCTGCTATTGAGTCTTCATAGCAATATTCCACCGATGTCAGCAGTCCCAGCTTAAGGACCATTACCCATTCCTACGAATGAGGGAAGCTGTCTTTTCTGAGGATGTCTGTGGTCTGTGTGAGGACCTACTGTTCCTCAACACCTTCCTCCTGGAGAGAACTGTGTGAGGAAATCACTACAAAGTAGACAGGACTGTTTTCTTCCCTTTCTCCCTCTTTGCATAGAACAAAGGTGATCAAAGCCACACGACTCCTTTATACACTTCATTTTTCCAGCCCCTCAAAGCCAAACTCAATAGCAAGGATATATTGTGAACCCTTGATTGGTTCAGCACTGTTAGAACTGATGCACCCAAAACTAAAAAGAAAACCTGGCCAAATGAATTTTTGATAAACAATTCAATCAGGTGTAGAGTCAAGTGTCATTTCTTCTGTGGGTTACACAAGGCCAGGAGTCACAGTTCTTTCTCAGTGCTTTAGAGTTCATAATTAGCATAGCCCTACAGTGAGGTCTACCATTTTACACTAAAAATTCCATCATTTGGGAATGAAAACTGCAGATTATTTTGTGAAGCATGGCCAAGATAAATGTTATTATTTAAAACAAATCACTATAAGTATTGACAAATGTAATAAAGTTTCAAACATGAAAGCAAAAGGGAAATTTTTACATTTCAGTTCCAGTATTGTCAAGGAAACTCTTTCATGCTTAAAATTCAAACTCAGCATGTCAAGTAATTTCACTGTTACAGACTTGAATTACCTGCACTGGCCTGAGGGCATTATTCAGTCTCTGAGAAAAATTGTACTTTAATATTGCTATGATTTTCCCAGGTAATTTTTATGCAGAAGCTGGGATGAATTTGAAACATCCATTTCAAGATTAAAGTGATGGCATCTGGTGACTGCAGAGAACCATGTAATTGAGAATTGGGCTTAGGGATGTGCCCAAACTTAAAATACGGGAATGAGAAAACAATATTAATAAAAGGACCAATGTTTTGCTATTCTTTGCTTAACTTGTAGGATGCAGATGTCAAACAGGGTTATAGAACACAAATAAACCCTCACTTCAAAAAATGTTTAGATGCATACTCGATATTGAATGCTTACACTATATGGAAAGACCACGAAATTGCTGGCCACTGTCCCAGCCCATTTAATAATTTTTGTCACATGCAGGAGGAAAGATAATCTTCCCACACAGTTTTAATGGATCCATTTTTGGAAGCACTGAATTATTAATCTCTTTTAGGGGTTATCTGCTGCCTGATCATTTGTTAACTTCATATGAAGTTGGGGGCTGGACCCAGAGCATGCTCTGCAGAGGCTTAACTCCACAACAGAGCCTGATGTGAACTAAGGAGTTCCATCATTGACCTAGATAAAGTAAGAATATAATGTATAAATAAATGGCCTTACCCAAAAGTGTGTATCAAAAAACTTGTGGCAGCATGCTTCCAGGTGAAACTCTGGATGAATTGGTTCTTTTGTGAGTACATGGCTTTGAAGAAATGTGCAGACAGAAAAAATGATGCTTTTATATAATAGATTCTACCAGTAAAATAGGGTAATGGGGGATACCCAATGTTTTTATTATTTAAATAACTTTTTTTGTAGGGTAGTAGATGCAAACTTTTACTATGTGAAAAAGTACTAGGACTTATTAAAGAAAGCAAGTGAATAGATTCATTCTTTTCTTGAAGAATTCCCAGATTAGCTGTCTTACTGTTTGTATCAAAGTGGGGCCCCTTCATTACAAAACGAACCATAAACATTGGTGTCTTGACTCACCACTTTCAAGGTAACTAGTTGTCTTGATTGATAGAAAATTTTCTTTTAACTCTTTTAAGAAACTCATTACCAGACATTTCATTCTAATAAAACATTGATTAACTAAGTAGAATGAGGTTTAGGAGTAACTGTTGAGCATTGAGGAAATTTATCTTGTAATGGACAGAGACTAGGGGAACATGACATGGGAAGTTTTAATAACTGAAGCAGGGATAATGCAGGTTCACATGTGTATTAGCTCGTATGCACTGAATCCAACGTCATCCTTAATTCTTGCTCCGTGAGCCAATGAAGGCTGAAAACATCACTGAGGACAAGAAGCAGCAACTACTTCAATGAATGAAATACAAAAAATTAGCCATGATAGAAATTAATTAATTCCTCTTGTATCTGCACTGGTTTTGTCCAAGATTTAGTCTTGTTGGGAAAGAACAGCATTGTAAAGCAGGGAGAAGAGAGTAAAAAAAAAAAAAAAAAGGCCTTTGAGAATTAAAGGCCTCCTTCCAGAATTACCACCCTGGTTTTTAACACGTAACACTGGAAAGATTCACTAACGACTGGTCTTGTAAAAACACGGTAAGAAGTCAGCCAGTGAACCTCAGTAACCAGGGAAACCTACCACATATCCTAGGCATGCTGTTCTGTTGCTCATCACTGTAGGAGAAATTTAAAGCCACAAGAAGTAACTGTGATCTAACTGTGCATGATCCACTGCCTACTGAAGTCAATACAAATATTTTAATTCACCAAACTGTGTATTAGATTCCAGCCACCAAAAAAACCTAATAGTAACCGAACTATTACAGCCACTAAAGAATCAATAGTAATCAAACTATTATACCACAGGATAAAATAAAACAGAACACTGTCAAAATTCACAGTTGTGACAATATATCATAACATTAGCTGAAATGAACTCAGTGCGTTTTCTCCTTCAGCTAAATCTCCCCTATGAAAATTATTTCAATGTTTTGATTTTTCTGCTAAGCTTTTACTTACCTGAATAAAGATTTATTTTTGTTGTTCTTCCTCTTCTGCTACTGAAATGCAGCCCTGATGACTCTGTCGCTAAGTGGCTGAGTTGGTCTGAAGTTATCTCCTAGGATTCCATCACAGCCCTCTAAAAGTTCTGCACCTTTAACATGTGTCCTCAGTCTACGAAATTCCTCTATCTGAAAGGCAGAAAAACAGACATGCAGAAGCTGAGATACATTCTTCACTGTGGGACTAATGATCAGAATAAGCCTTGCCCAGCCACTTCTGCAGCTTCGAAACTTGGGAGTGTTCAGGTACCATATTCTGAGGTTGATATATATCATTAGTAAAATTTTAAAATAGTTGTCAGCACTGTCAAAACCCGTAACATAAAGAGAAAAATAAGAATTTCTATGCACATGGTTTGGCAAACTTATCCTTCACTTTTTTGCAACTTCTTTTGGTATCTGTAACCTTCATAGACACTGTAGATCACGTCCTACGAATCAACCTCACAGTTGCGACACGAGAGTAACCATTCTGGTCTTCCACAAGAAAGCCCCTTTCAGGAATAACTTTGTTGACTACAAATTGTTTTGAATTTCTTCCAGTGATTTATTTATTGCCTGCAATCCTTACTTCATTTAAATAAAAATTATTTGCTAAACCAGGAGAATTCTTAACCAACTCTCAGCTTTAGAGGAAGTCTGTTGACATTTTATATGGAAAAACACGTTTTGTCCAATCAAAACAAAATACCACTTCAAAAGTTCTGTAGATATAGATGTTAAGTATACCTAGAAAATGAAATACAGTCAAAAATCAATATAAAACATTTCAGTTGGTCCAAACCAAATACACTTCTGGTTTCTAGACTGTTTTCAGATTTTTCTAAATCTGTTCTGGTTTAGGGAAGAACGTGAGCAGCTTCCATCTCCATCCCTGGTACCGGCATCAAGCTCTGTGTGATAAAAAACCTAAGAAAATCAACGCATATCTCAGCAACATCATACCTTATTGTTCAACAGTATTGGTTTTAAGACTCTGGTATTTTAAACAAGTAGCTACAGCTACTAAAAAAACTGTTTGGTTTTGCTTTGGCATACTGACAAGCTATCTTAGCTGGATACAGCAAATCTACTTGAAGGCTGACTCCCCTAGCCCGAGCCTTTGTACTTATACTGACCCCGTGATGCCTCACTATCCTGTTCAGCTGTAACTTGAAACTGAAGCTACACTGAAAGCAAAATGGAGCCTGAAGTATTTAATCATTTTATCATCTAAGAAATAAGCGGGGAGTGAATTTCTCCATGAAAAACACCTTATGAAGGATTACAGAGAGAATGCAAGTGTGATGCCAGAATTAAAAGAAATGAGGTATTAAACCGCAGGTAATGGCATTTTTATTCTTATATTGCCTGCAGAGAATACTTTCTTACTGCAACCTGGAAGACAACTGCCTTCATTGTTGTTTTCCACTCTACAGCAGAATTGATACAGACTTATTTACTTGATTTAGATGCTAGCTCTGCTCTGCTGTATTTTCCTCAAAAAACATTGAGCTTAGATATCAACACTCAGCTTCTTGCAGCTAAGATATCAGGCAACAGCTTAGACTGAAAAAATGAAAAGCAAAACAAACTGCAAAGCTCCTTGCAGGTGCTTTTAGAGGCAGAACCCTGGTTTGGAAGATTTGTTTGTTTGTTTAAAGCAAACTGAAAACAAACCCACTACAGGCTTGGAACTGAAAAAGTCTTCAGGAGTCAAGTGCTGGTAAATCAATGAATGGGTCTTGTAAAGTTTCTCTCTTTCATCATCTGAATCAACTCTGGAAAGTCTGAAATAACTGTAGTTTAGGAAGGAGCATTCTACAAGAACGTTGCTTTTGTTTGATCTTTTGAGAACCTCAGACTTCAGATAAACACAGACGAAGGAAAGGCAAGAGCAGACTCTCTGCCAAGCGGGCATTTGTGAGCTGTCTCCTACAATAATCACAAATGCTCTGCCCCGATCCCCACAGTGAAATCTTTCTCCAGGAGGTACTCCTCACAAAGCAGCTTCCGGTTTCTTCAGGCAAGAAAGCAGGACTGACCTGATCCCTGTGCCTACTCTTTACAGAATCACAGAATGGTAGGGGTTGGAAGGGACCTCCGGGGGTCATCTAGTCCAACCCCCCTGCCAACGCAGGGTCACCTACAGCAGGCTGCACAGGACCTTGTCCAGGTGGGTCTTGAATATCTCCAGAGAAGGAGACTCCACAACCTCCCTGGGCAGCCTTTTCCAGTGCTCCGTCACCCTCAGAGAGAAGAAGTTCTTCCTCATCTTCAGACGGAACTTCCTGTGCTTCAGTTTGTGCCCGTTGCCCCTTGTCCTGTCGCTGGGCACCACTGAAAAGAGTTTGGCCACATCCTCCTGACACCCGCCCTTCAGATATTTGTAAGCATTTATAAGGTCCCCGCGCAGCCTTCTCTTCTTCAGGCTGAACAAGCCCAGCTCCCTCAGCCTCTCCTCATAGGACAGATGTTCCAGTCCCCTCTCCATCCTCGTGAGGAGTCCACAAGCCTCCTTGTTCAGTCTGTCATCTCATGGTTCAGACCTGCGTGACAGAGACCCTCTATGTACACGGTGGTCTGCCTCGCTCTTGAGAAGCGGGTGTCAGAAAAGGACACTAGCTGTGCTGACGCTACTTTTTGAATTAAATTTCCTTGTGGTAAGGCAACAACATGTGTGCCCTACTCTTCCTGCTTCCTCTAGTATGGAACCATTTACTATCACCTCCCGAGCCCTCACAAGTCATTGCTGCAAAGTACATCCTGTAGGTTGGCCGAGGAAATAGGTATTTCAGCAGCACACAGCTAAGCACCCTTGGATATTCACACACTTTTAACAGGAATGGCCATTTATAAAAGTTTTTCTCATGTCCAGAAGACACTAAGGATGACCCAGGCCTGTTCACACCAAAATTCAGGATCTAATTCTCATCAGTGAAAAGGTAAATGGATAATTTTAGCATTTCTACTGTGTAAAAACAAAGTTAGTTTATATTTTGTAGAATAATTGCAATCATGTTTTTACCACTTCCCTGTGTTCAGATCCTGAATACTGCTTTCTTCTGTGTCACTTAAACATTTGCTGAGCAATAAAACATACAAAACAAAGAATTTGCATGTTTCCTCTACAAACATTTCTTCTGTCTGAGGAATAGAAGCATTATCCTTCTGTTTGAAAATGTCACATGCTTCTACGACACCTTCCAGGAACGCAGATCTGTTCCCAGTGAACAGCTTACTGTGATCCTCTCAGAGTGTTTATTTCACAAACCACATGAATTTTGCACAATTCCAACTCCAGCTCTGTGTGCCTCTTACTATTTCTGTCCTTTAGGAAGCCTTGATTTTGAATGAGGTAGACAAAATGACTGGAGACCTCACCATTCAATACAAAACCAGTTAACTCTGAGTACAGAAGAACAACAGCTCCTTGCAGCATCATTGTTTAAAATCCCTACTCTGAGTGCCTTAGACAATGTACTTGTTCTGGGCTTCAGGAAACCACAAAGCACATTATTCACAAATGTCCAATTTTTTAAATATGTAGTGGAGAGAAGCATGAGCAAGTCTTTTTCAATTATTTCCTGCTCTTTACTGGCCAAATAGGAGGGAGTTTTCTATTTTCTCTCATTGCATTTCAGCAGTGTACATGCATGGGCAAGGTGTCTCACAAAAGCAGACAACACAGTTCTTTCTGGGCTGTATATTTCAACACAAGACAAGTGAGTATGATTAAATCTACAGAAGGAGGGCAGGAATATGCAAAAAGAGCACTGCAGAGTGCAGCTTTCCAGACAAGCTCCTTTCCACTGAGGTCAGTAATAAAACTCCCAGGAACCAGATTTGCAAAACCCTTATTCTCCAGGGGAGAAGAGTCACTTGCATGCTTTATCCAGACCTCACAGGAAGACCCGTGAAGGAAACGGCTCTCTGATGTGAAGCCTCATGTCAAAGAACATTACTGCCAGTGAGGAAACAGCACTGCACACCATGAAAGCACATCCCGACGCTGCAGTCCTGGCTTTCTCTTTTGCTACCCATATAACCAAAACAGTCAGATCCCAGCTACTGAGGTGAGGTGCACATGGAGATGAACCTCCTTTCACTTAACATTGACTTAGATCAGTAGTAAATCAACTCATCAGTTGAACTTTGCTATCTACAAATGTCTTCAGGACCATAGCAGTTTTGGCTGTGATACAGTTAATTTTCTTCCTGGTAGCTGGTGTAGTGCTGTGTTTTGGATTTGAGATGAAAATAATGTTGACAACATACTGATGTTTTCAGTTGTTGCTAAGTAGTCAAGGACTTTTTCAGCTTCTCATGCTGGCCTGCCAGGTGCATGGGAAGCTGGGAGGGGACACAGCTGGGACAGCTGATACAAACTGGCCAAAGGGATATTCCACACCATATGATGTCACGCTCAGTATATAAGCTGGGGGAGTTGGCCAGGGACAGCAATCGCTGCTCAGGGATGGGCTGGGCATCAGTCAGCAGGCGGTGAGCAATTGTCTAGTGCATCACTCATTTTGTATATTCTATTAGTAGTAGTAGTAGTAGTATTATTATATTATGCTGTCCTATTAAACTGTCTTTATGTCAACCCATGAGTTCTACTTTTTTTTTCCCCATTCTCCTGCCCGTCCCATTGGGGGAGGGGAGGGAAGTGAGTGAGCAGCTGCGTGGTACGTAATGGCTGGCTGGGGTTAAACCACGACAAGGAGAAACAGAGAAAGGTTCTCTACTTTGCAATGGTCAGCCTACTATGCCTATGCCAAAATAGCTACTTCTTCATTGTTTTAAAATCAGCAAATGTGAAAATATATAGATGTGACCATGAACTAGAATTGCAATTTTATTCCTTTTTTCCCCTTACGACCCACTGTTTGTTAAGCTAATCAGTATCGCTATGTTAATTACAGAAAATGAGAATGTGAATTAACATCTTGTCTCCAATATGTTTACTAGATTCATGAGAGGAAGGCAATAAAACCTATTCCGTATCAGACTGTGTCATTTTTTATTGTTACTTGTCATTGACACTCAGAAGTTAATTATTTTGTGGACTGAAAAATGAAAATAGAAAGCTGTGAATTTGTCTCTCACCAGCTATAACCACAGATGCTACTAGTATTTATACAGATCGCTTGAAGTTTCATAAGCTGGGTTCATTAGTATCCCACTGAAGAAAGTTCTACAAGTTAATGACATGTAAAACTGATGTATTTAAATCCATTAGAAATGCATTTGCACTGGAATCTATGCTTTAATACTACAAGCAGTCTTAATAAAATTAAATGCCTTTACCAGCCTTCCATGGATGATTCAGAATGGTATATGCTATACTACATCCTCTTATTTTCCATAGACAAAAGCCCTTGCATTTCTAATCTCTCCTGAAACAGAATCTCTCACAGGCACTCATGCCCACGTGCACAAAAGAGGCCAGATACTTAATTGCAGTCAAAATGCTAATTACAAGTTACAATCTTGGATGTCTAGGCAATAGCAAAATATTCCGGCACCCCCAAAATCTTATTTTGGGCATTCTGTAGAACTCTCGGTCTCTTTTGAATTTAGAATTGAAGAATCACTGTCTCTCACTTACTTGTCCCCATATTTATTTTCAATTGATATCTGAAAACGGTATGTGATGCAAGTAAAATTTTTATCCCACCTTGGCAAAAGTCCTTAATGTTCTTACTAAGCCTTTTCTGCACAATCATGACTTTAATGCACTGCACTCATAACTAGCAGTGAGGATTTTTTTTCTAATTGATGATGATCTACAACAAGTACAAAGTATTGTGGATGGTATTGGCATAAGTCCATTCCAATCTCTCACTCTGCTCCAGTGCCGCCAGTCTCACCCGCATACTGTGCCTGTGGATGGCTTGAACTGTGCCCTCCTTTGTACATTGACTGGATTAAAAGGAAACAGAGCTTATAAAATCTGCAACTAACATGAAATAAAATAACACACAATGTCTCAGTGTAACAGCTATGGTCTTTATACTTCTGTTTAAGTCCTTTTGTTTATCCGTATCGTATGTGGACAATTAGCTGCCAAGTCACAAAATGCACTCTGTCCTTTTTTAAGTTATGCTGAACCTAATAATGCCAACAAGAGTTCTGTTTCTGTTTACTCAGTAGTAAGCAGCCATAAGACTCCTCCTTTTCAAATAAATACCAGATTCATGATGGGATACATTTAAGTTGCAGCTACCACACAAATAAACCTATTGGGTGCTATTGCTTTTATCTTATGATTAGAAGTAGAATTCAGCTTTCACATGAAAAGATTCACTGACAATTTAAAATTGTTAAAATACTGTGCTAAGATTACTAGCAAAATTTTAGATTATTAAAGCTGAAATAATTTAAATCTGAATTTATCACCTTTTATACTTTTTTCCCTTCTGTTTTCACATGCTTCAGAGCAGGCAATGAAAATTAACACATTCAGTTTCAGGGATTCTAGATAGTTTCACTCAAAGTAAACCCACATTCCTCTAGCTGGGATTAACAGACTGTGTGAGAATATTCATCAGGAGTTTCCATTGTTTTTACTGGGATTTTTTGTATACAGATTTGAAATGTTTTCTATAGGAAGGCTCATATGACTGTTAGATATAATTCAAAATAAAAACCCACTATAAAACACATATGTGAAAACAAATTTAAATAGGTAGTTTCCATATGACATTTATTATAAAACAGAATTAAAAAAGAGCAAGATAAGTTAAATATAGTTCAATGCAACATAGCTAGCCTGTACTATGTTCCCAATTTTCATTCTTCAGGACATAGTGTCTCCCTGTGCTTTTTTGTTCTTTTAACATCAAAAAGCAGTGATATTTGAAAGCTTACAATTACAAAGAATTGAACTTCTTTTGCCCATTGACTTCTTTCTTTCTTTTTCTTTCACTTAAATAAAGAATTATTTTAAATGTAGATGATAAATGATAACAAGGTTTTTCATCTCTGACCTTTGCGTTGCTTTCAGTGACTCAAAAGGCTTAACCTTTACTTGAAAAGCCATGTACTGATCTAATGGGATCTTCAAGCAGAACAGATATAATGTCCTGATATATATATTTGCACACTATAACCTTTAGCTCATAACCATATTCCAAGGTCACTTTAAGCACAGCTGTTACCTGCACTTGGGACACAGTCAAAGGATAGCGAAATAATATCCAGGTGACTCCTTCACTGCAGGGTGGAATGGTTAGAGAGCCCTCATACACCCAGTAGTCACGCAGAAGAGGATCTGAAATTAAAAGAAATGTGGAATTTTAATGACATTAAGGAAAATAATTGTGTCTTTCAATTATAACAGCTTATGATAGCCATGGGCTTGCTCATATGACGAGCAAGTTTGTATGCAGTGAAAGAAGGTGTGAATTTATAACCTGTCAAGGACTGTCCACTACTTTCTCATGTGAATGTACATCAGCTTGTGGCCATTATATTACAGTAACTTCCCCCTGCAGATGAGTATTTTAAACATGAAAATGACACTTCATAGATCTGAAGAATAACAAGCACAACTCCTTATACTAACACAGTCAATAAATAACATGGTGGGAAAGAACTCCTGTTAGTGTCTAAAGCTAAAAGAGACATCCCATTTTGAAGGCAATGAGGCTCTGATGATCAAATTTTAACTGACTTATACATTTAGAGTATGTCTCAAGGATTAATTTATTTCAATTTTTAGAAAAAAATCAGTGAAAACAGCTCAAGCCAAACTTATCAGTTCGTAGTTCTGGTGACATGTTTTTTGAGATGCACTGGTGCCTCCTAGCTTTGGAAAAGTGAGTTGAACTTCACAGGGGAAAAAATCAAGGTTTATTTAAGAATAAACTTATTTTAATAAGTTTACAAATGTATTAATAGCTTACTAAATAACTGTTAGAATAAACAGTTGTCTCTCAAGAAAACATACAATCATTTGTCCAAGCAGAGTTTTAACTCTACATACAACGTGTTTGATTTTAATTATTTTAATTTTAATTTCTCAAAGATTCACACACTTCATAAGTGAGACTACACAGGGCTTTCCTTTGCTGCTGTAGGCCCTACTCACAAATGACTCTCTGACACAGCTTAAGAAGTACAGAGAGGAAACTGCCTGACTGTAAAAGAGGGGACAAGAAACAAACCTAAAGAGGAACTGGAGACAAAGGGTGGTTACTCATCGCATGGAGAGCTAGGGGGAAGGTTGTGACTAGCTTGACAAGGACAGAATGGGAGACTGCAGACAAATAAACTTGCTTGGCTGACCTAACCTGTTACTACCATTTCACTACTAGCTCAGAGGAATATCAGTAGAATTGAATCTTGCTAATGAAGCCTGTGATTGTCAGTGAATGGATTGTGTTTAGTTGGTGTAATTTTCTTCCTCGGTTAGGGAATTATACAGCAAATTCATTGAAAGCAAGTTGCATTATCAAACACTCAAAAGTTAAGAACTGCAAGAATTAAGTCAGCCATCCTGTGCATGCCTTGTGACACCGCCTTGTTACATGATCACATATGTCTTTTCTACAGAATCTTTCATCTTCTTTTAAAAAGCACCTAATAGCATTTGGATTTCTCAGTACAGTATGTGGTCCTTGGTCTTCTCTTTCCCATGCTATTCAAATCCTTCTTGTTAGAAGGACCGTATTTTCTCATTTTTCAGATTGCTAACGCACTCATTTCCTCACTGTCTGAGTGCTTCACAAACAGCAATTAATTTACCCTCCCAACATACCAGTGTGCTGAGGAAGGACAGAATAGCCCCACATTTTAAAGCTGGGGAACTGAGGCACAGACAAGTTAAGGTCAAATGCATCTATTCGCTTGAGGTGTTCAATATGAGATGCTTAGAACCTGATTTCTCAGAGTAGTTAACTTTCTCTAGGACTTAATGCAGTCAGAGCACTGCTCCCATTGACTTCAGTTGGAGGCATAAGCACTCAGCACTTCTGCAAATCAGACCCCATGATCTCAAGTTGGGCACCTAAAAATGAGGAACACACAGTTAGAGATGACTTATGAAAATTTTGGTTTATGTGACTTGATCAGCATCAAACAGGAACTGTGAGGCAGGGGTCCTGTGAAAAATAACTTACGGTCAGGCAACTAGAAGATGTTCTGTAATGTATATGCATGAAGTGGTACAGGCAGCCTTAATTCCTGCAGTTCCTAATTGCTGAGCACTTGACTTTGCAACCTAAACAATACTCCTTTGATATAATTAATATAGTTTAACGTAGACCTAGATTACTTTGGAAAATTAAAGATTTTACATGGAATTTAGCTCAGAAGGATTCCTTGTAGAAACACTCATCTTGCAGAAGCACATTTTTTAAAGTCTTATTTTTTTTCAAGACAAGGTAGAGGAAGTGATTGTTTCTTACTGTTACTTTTTAACTTTTAGCTATACGAATTTGAATTTGCCTCCCATTGTCACTACTACTTGTATGCTATACCACTGTCACTGCATTATGGCACTGTCCTTTGATGCTGCCAAAAAGCTGCCTTGGTAATTGGGTAACCTTTCACTTCCTATTTTATGCCAAAGTAGAGAAAGGCGTACACAGAGCTCCCCCTCTACGTGGGATGATAAATCAATAAAGCTAGCCACAGTGTTGCCAGCAGTGCAGGGACTACAGTACCACATCCCACTCGCACGACGAAGGTGCAGATCTATCCTGAGTTCCAAAGAGACTGCATCCCTATCCCTGTCAGCACCATCAGGTGCAAAATGCATTACCACCGTAAGGGACACACTCTCAGGCTTGCACTTAGGCTATGCTTTAGATCAAGATTGTGTCAGCCTCTGCAATTAGCTAGTAATCCACCCACACAAAAGTAAGCAAAGGCACCTACCTGGCAATAAAGAGTTGGGATTAAAACAGGGTATTGTTTTGGACTTTCCCTGAAAAAATGAATACAAATCAATCTCATCTCTAGTTTCCTATTAAAGTGATGATGAATGGAGAGGTAAAACACACTGTGTGTTCTTATAACATTAAGCCTTGAATTTCTGTGCAAATCAACCTCATTAATAGCCCCCATTTAATCACCATTGCATTTGTCCTTGCATCTACACAAACACTTTTCTTATTCTATTTTATATTTTACTTCTGACATTATCTCAGCAATTTGTTAACTTTCTGCTTTTAGTACCTGGGCTCCTTCCAGGTCCAAGCCTTGAAATCCTCTACATGAAATTCAGGGGTTCCATACAAAATGAGTTTAAAAAACAAGGGCCAAAGTGAGCTTTTCCTTGACTGACGTGGGTAACATTTAATAAAACAAAGATAATTCCATGTATCTAATGCAAGAAAATCTTATGTATGCCAAAAGTATGTTTGATATTGACCCTCTGAAAGTCATTAGTATAACACACTCACAATGACAAGGCCTTTCATGACCTTCCTCTACTTGGCTGTCCTTTCAGTAATGAAACTACAGAGTTCCACACACTATTGTTTTCTCTGACACGTTCGTAAACAATGAGACTGTAATATTAAACCTCATGACTGAAACTTACCATACATTATTTGAGTAAAAGAAGATTTTCAACTCCCTTCTAATAACAGCTTCTAATATTTTACACTTCAGTATCCACTGAAGTGAAAGGCTAATCTCTCCAGACCAGTACAGAACATCTCATTAATACATCTCAAAATTCTTTAAAACCAAAGGTATGATTATTTCTATGTTACAGAGAGAGACCACGAAGCAGACAGATGGAAGTAACTTGCCCACAGTCATTTAAGACAGCATCAACATTCTGGAGAGCACTCTTATCTCCTCAGTCCTGCTAGGCTTATTATTTGACCTTCAGGATCTCCACACATAATCCACCTGACAAGACAACATTATGTTCTTGCTGATTTCCCACTCCAAGTTAATGTGGGTGCTCAGTTCATCTATTGTTTTCCTCTGCAAACAAAACCAGGTAAGTCTGAGGATACTGCTGCTGGTGTTCACTAAGCATGTTGCAGTGCTTGCATTCACGCTGACTCCATGATAACCACTGAAAAGGCAGCATTTGCATTCAGTTACTGGTATGTAACATCAAACTTTCTGGCCACCAGAAAAGAAAGTAACTACAAAGACCATATACTATCTGAATACTGAAAAATGCTGAGGTTCTGATGCAGGCCACCAAATGATGGCTTTCACACATGCTTTTACTACAGATGCATCTGAAACCCTTCTCTTGGCTTCATATAGACGTTTCGCTTACTGACTCTCTCCGGTCAGTGAAGGACACATTTCTTCAGACAATGCCTTACCTTGTACTGGATGTCCTGGAGAATTTCAGTTACAGCCTTTAGGCCTACATGCTCTTTTCCTATCTGAAACACGGCAAGCAAAGATGAGTTTCAGTATTTTGCTATTTCAGAAACTGTGAGGCAAGAAAGAGGTCAACCAGAACAGTAAGGTCTGCAGTTGTTTTTAGTTAAGCTACACAACCTTGTGTTAATCAAATACACTGATACATGGCAAGTCCAAACAATTAAATCACTATAAAGCCAGCAGTCAAAAGTAACCGAGGTGTAAATAACTTTAAAGCAGAGACAGAAAGTCACAGAACCAGAGAAAGAGTCACAGTTAGGTCTGGCAAGTTTTGACTAACCCTGTTTTGCAGCATATACTGCATATGGAATCAAAATCATGCAGCATTATGGCATATAAATGCCAAGGATATAGTTTGTCCTTACCAGTTTTGGTCAGAAAAGCACACAGAAAGGAACAGACTGAACAAGCACGACATGCACTTTCTGAACTTGTTCCCACAGCACTGCAAATCTGGCTGAAGGTATCTCTGCAGCTTGGGGGAGTTTCTCCCTGCCTGCAGAGCACAGAATGGCAGATCCCCTACCTCACGGCATCTCTGGGATCCTGCCAGCGAAAGCCAAGCTCCCGGCAGCCTGCAGCACTGCCTTTACTGAGTGACTTTAAGGCACAGAAGATGGGGCTTTCAAAAGAAACCCACTGTTGAAATACGAGATTCTTATTTTCCATGAATGTCATTCACTCTGCACACTGATTTCAGCTGCTTTTCACCTAAGCGACCCATCCTAGGACCCTAGTTTTTGCCTGCAGAATAACATTGTCAACATAGGAAGACAGAACAGCCTTCCACTTGATTTCTTTGCCAACATGTACATATACGAGGTCAGGAACGAAGCAGGCATGAGTGAGAACAGGAGAGGTGGACCCTGAAAAATTTGCTTGCTTTTTGTTTCTCTTGGAATAGAACAGCACAGCAGTCACTGCAAGGAAACAACTGCATGTCAACAAATGTACTTTATTATTTCTAAGAATTTAAGAGGATTTTCTTTCGTATCAGAATGGGATTTCAATTAAAAAAACAAAATCTTCAAAGTGCATAAAACGTATTTAAATCTCTTCAAAGACACTGTTTCTAAATTAATAATCAACAAGGGCTGTCACTTCAATCAGGGAAAATATTTTCACTGACCTTAAAATGATGTGTTTGAGTACTGTGGTGTGAAACTATTATATTTCCATGCCTTTAACAGGAAAAAATGGTCACCGAATTTCCTCTCCCTGTTCCTTTAATAAACAGCACAAATACTATTTTTCCTTGGTCAATTGTAATTATATGATGCCTTTCTTGGCTAATGAAAAAGCCCTTTGGAATGCTTATGAACTTCAATGAAGGTGAGAGACCAGAAATGGAAAATGTATCATAAAAGCTTCAGATTTATTTAAGAACTTATATATAACTTTCTAACTAACTCGAAGGTTACCTCTGCCGGAATTAGAAGGTGACTTACAAAGCAATTATCACACAGCCCTCTAGGATACAAAACTGAAGACTTTCTGACTTTCATTTTTAGCAGTTCTATCTGAGTGTTGGAGCTATAACCAATGTACCTTTAAATTCAAACAGAGGTAAAACTCATAAGGCACTCATAAACTCATTATGAAATACAACAAATTAATAATGTCACTGTGAAAGAAAATCCATTTGCTCTAAGCATGAACTCTAAACCTCTTCCTCCCAATGCATTTAAATAAAACAGTTTGCCATTTCTCATGAGGAGGATGAGAATCTGGTGTTTGAGGACTAAAACTGAAAATCTTCTTTATAAGGTGCATCCCTTGAAAAATCTTCAACACCAATTTCATTGTGGGGCTAACTTCCCAGCTTGCATTGCACCTTCATCCCGGCAGGCATTCAGCCTCCTCATTGCAGGCTTTTCTGAGGGTCTGTGGCAAGACTCATTACACTCTCAGCCTGGCATCTCTGAAGAAGTAATATGACCCCACTTCACATTCATCCCATCTGAAGAAACACGCTTGTCCCTGTGTTCAGAAAAGCACAATCCTACTACCACTTTTCAGCTGCACCAATGGGTTAGTAGGCTTTTTTCCCCTCTTTCCTCCTCTCCTCTGTGTATTTCCTCAATCCCCGAACAGCAGGCCTGGCCAGGAATGGAGAAAAACACATTACAGATACAGTGAAGCACTTGTACCTCCTGACAGCCTTCATTCTGTCCTCAGAGGAATGGAGAGTGGATGTCTGCTTAACCCAGAGTCACAGAGAGATGGCCAACTATGTATTATCCCTTCTTTAACTAAAATACTTCCAATACCCTGTTTAAACAAGAATTACTTAGCGCATACACAGAAGACATGACTGAGAAGTATTTTTCGAATAGAATACCAGCAGTCATACACTGGTTTATTTTATGAAGTTATTAAAAAATGAAAGAAAATGGCAAGAAAGTCATTTTCCTCAGACATATGATAGAGCATGGTAACAAGTGCAACAGAGGGAACTTACCTGCACAAACAAAGCAATAATAGCTATGCCGTGCTTCTTCCCTACTGCCTCATCAATGCTGCTGTACAGTGTGGAGTTCCAGTGCATTAGATGAAGCTAAAACAAAGCAGTGCAAATAAACCAATAGAGAAATACATTTTGCAGTAAAAAACACCAGCAGCTAATGTCAGTTGACAAAGCCTCAGTAAGTGTGTGTGCACGCATGAATATACATATGTGCATGCCTATGGTTGTGCATGTCTATATAAGTGGATTGCTATTATAAACATCAGGAATTCCAAGGAAAGAAAAGGTCAGCTGCAGAGAAAGTGACATACAGCCAGTTACCAAATATCTACAACAAAGGTGTGAATAACTATGCTAATGATGATTTACTAACTCCCTCACTTTAAATACTGAAGTAATGTCAGCTAATGAAACCCACCAGTGTTGCCTCTCAGCCAGCCAGCCCTCTTCCAAGGCAGGAGTATGGTTACAGACACAGGCTGTCCAAACACACCTTTGACTGGCTGATTGTACTATCTTAATGTCACTTGTCTCACATATCACCATGTCATTACCTAAATGTCCATCGTAAGGGTAGAAGTGATTTCGGGAAAGGTTAAACACAGAGAAACTCAAGCAGAGAAAAATGGCTGGAGGATCACCTTAGGGGCAGACCCAAAAGGGATGCTAAAGAGTAAAACACAAGCCCTCAGCTGCTTTCTTCCACCAGGTAGCAGGGCCTGTCAGAGTTCATACATGAATGCATGTCAGGCAGCAGACAGCGCATGGTAAAGACGACGTCTGCTCTGGTGAGGTGTCACAGCATGATTTGGGAAGTGGTGTTTGAGAAAGGTGCTGGAAAACAGACTAGCAGGCAGTCGGAAAGGGAGGATGGAAGAGAGGGGAGGGAGGGGAAGGAGGAGGGTGGGAAGGAAGATGGAGGGGAAGCGAAAGAGAGAAATGCTGGAAAACAGACTGACAGCTGGAAGGAAAGAAAGAAAGAGAGAAAGAGAAGCAGGGAAGAAGGAAGGGAGGGAGGGAGGAAGGGAGCAAGGGAGGGAGGAGACAGTACTATCCACTGAGGCGTAATATGCATTTCAAACTGTTTTTCCATGATGCACATGTGATCACTCTTCCCTTATTTAATCTCCAATGAGAATCTTGGGCACTCCTCTTGATGACTGTCACTTCAAAAGTCAATACAAAATTTTAAATGAACATACTGTAAAGCAAATTAAATTCCAAATTATCATACAAATAATTCTATTCATGCTGTACTAAAAACATGAAATCTTTTTCTTAAAAAACTTCATAATTCATTTGCACATGAGAACACTAATACAAATGTACTTGCCCATGGCTACAAAACTTCTAGACATAAAAATGCGCCCTGTTAGAACTAAGCTATCTCACTATCGCTGAGGGATTTACTTGGTGCCATGTATTTTATCATCTATAAAAATCTTTGTTACACATTCGTTTTGCCTTCAGCTTTTAAAGGAACAAAACCACTGGGTCATATAACAAGATTCCAGTCTCCCAACGTACACATTAGCAGACACAGAACTAGCACCACCCACGAAAATATAGCCACAGCATCGCATTTTCCGAGAGGAAAACGACCATTTTCCATGGCATTTGCACCCGCTGTCCACTGGAGGGGGCTGACGGAGCCCCACTGCCCTCCCCAAAATCCTGACGGGAAGAAGGAAACATGAAAGAGAAAGGCCAGGGTGGCTGCAGTGGGGTTGGCCATGCCCTTGGTGCGGCGAGAACACCCCTGCGTGGCACGGCCACGGCCACTCGGTGGGTTGGCAGCGTCAAAGCACGCTTCTCCTTTGGCGGCTGGGAACAATCGCGCCGAAAGCCATCGCCGAACGTAAATAGGCCGTGACTTTGGCTGCGTCAACAGCCGGGTCTCAGCTAAAGCTGCCGTGGCACTCGGCAGCGTGTTACGTTCCTGTGGACGTGTAGTCTAACCTGACATCTGTCGGCATTATGACAACACCGGGTTTTTCTGAAGATCTGAAAGGAAAACGCTGAGCCTCAGCAAGAGGAAAATGAGCAAGCACTTCAGTCCATACCAGCAATGACCCCAGCTTATCCAGAACAGACTGCTGTCCTGTCTTAGGCAGCAGACTCATCAGGGCAGAGACCTTCATATGATAAGGTTATATATCAGCTAGAAAGATGACACCAAAACCTCTGTGTAATACTAAAAACCATTAAGAGGTCTAGAATTAGCCTGTGCAGCATAGCACATAGCCTGTGCATAAGCAGCCTGACAGAAAGATGTGCTGCCAAGATACACTTAGCTGCTGCATGAAAGAGGGACCACAGTGTAAAACGCCCTGCAGCTGGAACTGCCTTACAAGGAACATACCTACCAGCCAGCACCTATTCCCACACCTCCACGGGTCATGGGGAGAGTAAGTTAAGTGTTGGCTACACATTTTAAGTGTATCTTTAGGTCTCTGCATCCCCTCCAGGCCTCCTTCCTTTCCACCAACTCAAAAGAGGTGAGAATGGTCTACTAAAAGAAAAACATAACACAAAGACAAAAAATGGATGTACTTAAGGCTAATGTAGACATGCCTAGACTAGGTTCAGCTTTGGTAATCAACATTAGTAAAGATACCAAGATAGGCACTCGGCACTTTCTTGTCCAAAGGTTTTAGTAACTTTGATGTTCTGCTCAAAGATGCTTATAATACATACTAGGCTCCTTGGAACAAGAATCATCATTTTGTACTGGGCTGCTAAAGCCCAAGGTAGAATGGACTTCTGGTCTGTGTTTAAGACGCTACTGCCTTACTTCCTAGAGGATAATTACAGTGGATTAGTAATCTGGTTTTTACACAGCAGGCTGTGAACTTGCTGTCATAAACACTGTGGTGCCAAATAGCATCAGCAGGATCATAAATGGATTAGACAAATTACGGACAAGTCCAAAAACAGACACTGAAGAGAACAGGCAGTGATGCCGCCTCTAGCACTCCTAGTTCTGTGATGTCAGATAACTGGGGAGTACCACAAAAAGCAGTCAGGCTCATGTGCTCTCCCTGTACAGCATCCCTTACTGACACTGCAAGAGACAGAGTACTGTATGGACCACTGGCCTGATCCAGCAGTGTATTTATTACGTTCCCATGTTCTGAATCAAGGTGATATTCAGAATAGCTATTCACAGAAAAGGTTCTGTCATTAGGGATTTACAAACTGAAATTAGACAGGTAACCTAATGGAAAATAATAATTAAAGCCATAATATTTCCTAACAACAGGCCAACAGGCCTCACATCTCTTGCTCTAACTCTGATAAACCCATGCATGCACACTGAAGTAAATAAACAGATGTTAACATGCACTTAAATACATGGGAGTCAAATCAAATTAATTCTTCTACAGAGCAAGAAAAATGTAGCTCAGATGGGGGCTGGGCAAGCACCCAAAAAAGTGATTCAGAAAGGGAAATATTAGCAAGGAAGCAGTAAGGCCTGAGTGTTAGTAGTAAAGTGTTGCATTCAAATGTATTTGTGTGGTTCCCTTGAGCTGTTCTGCCTTTTGTTTGCTCTTTTTTTATTTGTAACATGACATCAGATGAAAACACCAGATAACAGTTTAAAAAAAAAGATGGCAAAAAGTCTACAAACATTACAAAATTTGCACTCTAGAGAATGCAGTGCACAAACAACATGGCCTGTAACTCTTGTTAATATTTACGGGAACCAGATGCACACAGAGGAAAGATCCCAGTGCCTTCACAACGCTTGAAAGTGCCAATATAATATAATGCCCATGCACATTGACAACTTCACACCCATGCATCTATATCTTACAAGTAGAAATAGCCAGAGAGGCTTATTAGATTAATGCTCTGTATTTTGGTAACCTTCAGTTTTACATTGATTTGAGACAGCTATATAAAAAATACATAGCCACAAAGGGTGCCAGTCTCCAATACAAACATAACCTTGTGGGGTTTTTTTAAATAATCAGCTGCAGTGTATTAGCAGCTTACCATTGTGTGGTTTTCATAGGGAGTGTAAACAAGCCGCATGTCAGTGCGGCAGGAGAGGCTCTGCTCCACTTGCTAGCTAATGTTGTGATACTCGGTAGTTATTACGGTACTGTACAACCAAAATGAGTCCGTTATACTGTTACTGATTATCGGTGGCTGGCTCAGTGTGCCAGACAGCATATTTTTACAAAAAGCTGTGAGAAACTCCTTAGCACTCAAAAAATACATTTTTCTCTTGGATAAAAAAAAAATATAATTGGAGCCTTTTAATATTCCAGCTGTAAATCAAAGAATTGTAGCAGTGCCTTCCTTAAAATCAGATAAACTGAAAACCCATGAAGGCAAATGATTAAATGAACTGCTGATAAAGTTAATTTGTTCTGTGAACAGCTGACGAGATTCTCCTTCACAGGACAGATTAAGAAATTTTTCCATGCAGAAGAGCAAACCCCACAGAAGGATTATTCTGTATGGAAGAAATTTTGATAAACTTCTCAATTTTCATCCAGTCCCCACTCAACCAAAAGATTACAAGGGGCCCATCTCAAATCAAGACTTTCTCAAAACTGAGTAAGGACCTGAGATTCTGGCTTTAAAGTCAATAAACAAACAAAAACCCTACACTTAAATCCATTCCTTTCTCTACCACAGAAATATCTCTTCTGTCAGTATGAAAAGAAAAGGCCTGGGATGGTAGATTTTTACAACGAATCAGAGTCCATGGGATGACAGATTCTGACAGGAATCAGAGTCACTGTATACAACCTAGCACATTTATCAGTTCTGGAAGTCAGTTTCTCTCAATAAAAAACAGAGTTACAAAAATATGTACATTTCTCCCCTGTCTAGGCACTGGCTGCTCTGTGGAAACCTGCAGGGTCCTAAACCCACTGAGTACAAAAATGATCCTTTAAGCTCTGTTGCTGACCTTACTTTATTCCCAGCTCACACATAAAAAAAAACATAATGACAGCATAATTTATGTTGGAAGTGGCCTCTGAAGTTCAACCGCCTCCTTCCTCCGTTCAGAGCAACACCGACTTCAAAGTTAAATACTATTTCAAAGTCAGACCAGGTTGCTCAGGGCCTTG